CTTCGTAACGTCCCCCTTCCCTCTCTCCCTTCTGAGTGCCCCTCCCGCTCTTTCTTCGTATGTGCCGTCTCACGGCACGCGCGACCCCCAGCTCCACGGCACGTACCGGCGCAAGGACCGCATCTACCGCGAGAACATATTCTACGGGCGGGGCAAGCCCCTGGAGCAGTGCTCGCAGGGCGAGCTCGCCTCCGAGATGGCCGAGCGCACCTCCGAGAACGCCTCCGCCTACCAGAGCAGCCAGCACAAGCAGGACATGGTGAACGAGGTGCGCCAGAAACTGGCGTAGGTGACGGGGTCCACCCTCACCGGCCTCAAGCCCACAGGCGGCCGGTGGGGGAGAGGGGGGACGGGGTGGTCTAGGGGCCGTCGGGGGGCTCGAGTCTTGCGCAGTACGGCGGGGGCGACAGTGGGGGGGGGGGGGGAGAAGGCTGCCGGGGTTGAGCGCTGGCCGCCGCGACTGCGGCGCCCCTGTGGTGAATGTCAGACAACGACGGGGACCAGTCAGGGGAGCCGAGGAGCGGCCGGACCGGTCAGCTGACGCTGGCGGCCGTGTCTGTCTGTGAGCGGCGGCCGGTGGCGCTGTTGGAGGCCCCGCTTAGCCAGCAGAATAAGGCGGGTCCGAATTCAGCGCGCCGCGACAGGCGCACGGCACCGCGCAGTCACGTGACTGGGGCCCGTCTGCCGAGCTCCCGCCGTCTCTCGCCGCCGCTGAAAGCTTGCCGAATATATCACTGATCGGGTTGAGGTTTGTGATCGTTTCTTTGTGAGGTCTCTGTGATCTCATAGTCGTCTCCATGTGAACGCACGAAAATTATTCGCGTGAAAACAGGTGGAGGGGATTAATAATTGTAACCCTGATATTTACAATGATGATAATGCTAATATTTCAGACCATAGTTGAGCTAACAGCGTCGCGTCCGGTGCGACGTTCCTTGGAGACGCCGCGCGTGATTTCACGTTCAACCCGCTCACCCCAGTCGAGACAGAGACGCCTACTCCTCACCGAGCTCGTGGCCACGTGAGCCAAACAGATAACCGTTTGAAGTATATTTTGTTCAGCGATGCATTTGTTGAATGAAATAGGTCAATGCAACACACGACATCAATACTTTAAAAAGATCCCACCAGAGGCGCCACGGGCGGCCAGGGGCTCGCTTGATCTCAAGACGCTTCGTGACGTCACAACTACCAGGTGACGTCACAGCTCATCGCTGCCTCGCCTGTAACGCCTCCAGCGGCCCCATCCCACACCGTAGCCAGAGGAGCACACACACACACGCTCACACAAATTGGATAAAAACTGGAGCCGTCGTGACGAGGCAAACATGGCGCTCTCACGGCTCGCCGGCAATCATGACGCGCACTGACAGCTGTTGCGAGCCGCAGATGCGCCCAGATCGTGGTGAGAGAAGCCGGACCGGGTCGCAGAGTGGCGGCCGCTCGGTCCGACTGGCGTGAAGACGCCGGGGAGAAGAACACTGAGCCCGCAGCAGAGGCCGGCCAACCCTGTCCGGAGCGAGGATTCACTGCTCGCTGGCGTAGAGGCAAGCCAATGGCAGCTAGCGCCGCGGCGAAAGCAGACGGCGTCCGTGGACTGGCGAACAGCGAGAACATCGCATGCTGACGGACAAATGCAGGGGTGCGGGGATATCACAAAACATCAAGCGATCCTTTAGCTTGAATTTGGGTTAACGCATTATCCACCCTCCTCCCATGACTTGAACGTGTTTTGTTCCGGCGCGAGCACCGCGGCCAGCGACCGCCGCCGCTGGGCCGCCGCCGGCGGGCGGTGGCAGCGCGCCGACGGCGCCGCCCGCGCCGCCGCCGCCTCCCCAGCGCTGTCAGCTGGGCGGTGCCGACGGTATCGTACCATAGGTACGGCAGAGCCGGGCGGTACCGCAGCCGTGTACCTCGCGCCGCCGGGCCGGGCCGCGCGGCCACTCAGCTGAGCACCTGCCGATGCGTAACGACAGCACCAGCGGCCCGACACGAGCGACCGGAACCGGGACGGGGCACCCGCTGCCCGGTGCTGGCGGGCGGCGGCGGCACAGAGCCGAGGCGATAGCTCCAGAGGACACCGCCTACCGGAGGCGTGACCAAAAGACATGGGGTCGACACAGGCCGGCGCGTCCGACGGCAGTGCCTGAGCAGTATGCGAGGAGACGAGGCTCAGCGAAAATGAGTAGCCGAATCAATGTGTGCAATGAAGCACACTGCAGCAGCGACGCGCCGCCTTCCGCTGCTTATCTGAGACCACTCGAAAAAGCGAGGCTTCACATTTGCTCCGAAGTCAAGTGGGGCTTGACAAAATCGTACCCGGATATTTCTCGCATGGTAACCACGCAGCTGAACGACAAAAGCTCGACGCGGGTAGGTAGGCTGAGCGGCCGCGCGCTGTCGGCACTCGACTTTTGAACCCGAGCCATTCCCGAGCCCACGCCGCCGGCCGGGGTCAGCGCCGCCGGACCCGTGTCAGAACAACAGTGTCGCCGTGTCAGACCAACAGTGTCACCGTGTCAGACCAATCCTCAGAGCAATAAGTCGGGTCAAGCGACGCGCTTCCGGCGCAGCGAGCGGCGCGGAGCGGAGGGAGACACGTTCCGTAGCGTGCCGGTGGCAGGGGCGTAGGTAGAAAACGGGGCGAAACACGGGCGGCGGGCAGCGCGCCGTGGCGACATGGCCGGCCCGGCCCGGCCCGGGCTGGGTCCGGGCCGAGCTCGGGCCTGGCGCTGGCGGGGCTTCAGCCCGGCCAGCGCTGGGCACAGCCACCAGACCCAAGCATGGCCAGCCGGCCGGTCATCTGAGGTCAACGCCGGCCCGGGCAGGGCCTGTCAAGGCGCATACGTGCCGCCAGTCGGCCAATGCGAAAACAGGGTCGGAGACAATAGCGACGTCGTGCGGTCAGGCAGAGAACGACGACTGTGAGGCCCGCCGCCAGGCGGCCAGTTGTAGGCAGACAACACCAGCAGACGCGTCGCTCAGACGGCAGGCGAGATGGCTGAATAGCGAACAGAAGGCTGCCTCGCCGGCCGGCCGTCAGCGGCAGGCCTGCGTCACTGCCACCTGGCGGCCGACGTCGCTGCCATCTAGCGGCACGCGATGACGACCGGCGGCCCGCTACTTGGTCGCGTTGCGGGAGCGGTGCAGATGGACGTGCTGCCATCGGCCGTCGATCCTGTGCCAGAGTCGCGTCTCCTCCGTCTGCTCCGACCGCGACACGCCCTGCCTGCAGACACACATACAGTTTGTCGTCACGCGGCGCTCCGTGACCCCTGCAGTCGACGCGTTCGCAAACCCCGATTAAAAACAAGTGTGACGTCACGCAGCACGCCCTGTCCGCAGGTGAGGGCTTAAGCAGCCAACACGACCCGCCGGCAAGCGCAACATCGCTGCACACAGTACAGCGCAGGGCACGCATGAGCCGCAACAGGACGAACGCTTCACACGGATCGCTAGACGACGCGGCGGCGGCGGACTGAGTAAGCGACGCGCGCTCCGTCGGTACCATGCGTGGCGCCATAGTGCCAGTCTGAGGGTTTTCACCTCCGGAAAAATGGACAGCTCGTGTTCACAAAGAATTTACAGTGAAGCTCGGGGGAGGGGGGCAGCGCAAATTTTGTGGGCTTCCAAACAACAATAACTGGGTTTTCTCAGTCTCAACCGTAAGACCCTTCGCACGAAACCAAACATCCCGAAACCCGGACGTGTTCCATATGCGTGACAACGTTCTGAAAACTACGCTTTTTTTGCCGCTCACTAGAACTTAGGGGTCCTCCACAAACTGCACGTCTCAAACCTCTGCGAAGAGGCTAAGCTCATTCACAAAGATGCACTAGAGTAGAGGGCCTAGTAGACTTTTGAGGTCAGCAGAACACTAGAAAGTACCGATGTTGTGCAAGCGTAGTTTGCTCAGTAATGTTAAGTGCTTTATTCCATCGAAGCACTTGCTCAAGCAAGGAGAGCGGCGACGAGGGTTTGGTGTTACGGAGCTGGCCACCGTGCCACCGCTACGTTCCGACCGTACCTACCCGTCTATATACTGCGACAGGCGGACGTAGGCGATGCACGCCGCGCCGTCACCCAGCAGGTGGACGTGCGGGTTCAGAATGGTCACGTTCACGGCCTTCCGCTGCTGCACCGACGCCGCTGCGGCACCGGCGGCACCAGGGACGTCACGCCACACGGTCTCGGTGGTGACGTCACACCTCAGTTCCGACAATGATGTTACGTCATACAGTGGCGCCGATGAAGTCACGCCATGCAGCGACACCAGTGACGCCACATCGCGGCGTCGCCAATGGCGCTGCGACAGACGGCATACCAATGACGTCATCTGATACGACACCACCGAAAGCATCAACGCATGCAGTGGACCCACCGCCAGTTCATTAGTTAATGCAGCTGGCACCGGCGGTATGCCATGACTTGGCTATGAAACACATTTGGCGTGCTGCCTGAAGGGGTTTTAGCCCTTCATCCGCCCACCTACGTTACATGAGTTAGCAGGCCATGCCATCGGTGGCACCGGTGGCTGATCATGCCATCGGTGGCATCGATGGCTGGTCATGCCATCGGTGGCAGGCCATGTCATCGGTGGCATCGGTGACTGGCCATGTCCTCGGTGGCATCGGTGACTGGTCATACTATCGGTGGCATCGGTGGCTGGCCATGCCATCGGTGGCATCGGTGGCTGATCATGCCATCGGTGGCATCGGTGGCTAATCATGCCGTCGATGGCATCGGTGGCTGGCCATGCCATCGGTGGCATCGGTGGCTGGTCATGCTATCGGTGGCCGACGGGCCCTCGTGCCGTCGGTCGTGTTCGGCATAGTTTGCCACATGACCGCGTTCTGTATAATTTACCACATAAACTATGACCAACACGGTTCGCTCTCAAAGGGAGAAACAATAAACCGCCGTGCGAACGGTGCCATCTTTTCCAAACTGCTATAACGAAACCGTTGCTGGACAACGCATGAGTTGGGATTACAAAATATTTCGCTGATTGTTGTGGAAAATGTCTGCGCAGCATATAAAATTGTCAGCCGTGATATCGAAGTTCTACTGACAAGACGCAAGACAAGACTGTGTTCTGGCTCCAGAAGAACGCGGCATCCCAAGTCACAAGATTTTCGTGCCCGGCTACGTACTATTTGGTTGTGTTGCTACGGTAGATTCACGTGTTTCATTGTCGGAGCAACAACCGCTGTCTCCTCTGAAAATGGGAGGGCGGCGGACGACCCGAGCACCACCTACCGTTGTCGAAGTAGAACTTGTGGAACTCCAGGCCCTCCACTAGGCTCGAGAGCGACTCGGGCTCAAACGAAGTGATGCGTGGATCGCACAGCTTCCTGTCCAGACACACAGACAGCAGTCACACTCAGACAGCAGACGTTCACAGACAGGACCGCCCACGTGCTCTGCTGAACGCCGGCCATCAGACGCGGCCCGCGTGGTAAGATTTCTTTCCCACTAGGAAACAGTTTTAAACCCTCACCCAGCTGGTCATAGACTAACAGAGCCAGCGAATGGAACAATGTCGATCCTTCTAGCATACATTTCTGATGTCCCCACAGACTCATTTCACACAGCAGACAAGCTCTCAGATACCGTAGGTGCGTTGCTGTGTCGATGATTACAACACACCTTCTGCACAGCCGCCAGCACCCAGCCGTGCAAACTGGCCTCCAGCACTGGGAGGGGGGAGGGGGGACAGGAAGAGGACACCGGATCTTGTCGATTCGTGTGCTTGAGATCCATATCGATTTTCCAAAATACTGAACCACAGCCCGTGCGCAGGTGACAAGACCACCACCCAGTCAAAAAATGTGGGAATGGTCAAAGGCTACGGCCACATATGTTATGGCAACAGCATTCTTGCAACAACAGCGTTAACTATGCCTCGGTAGTTAACAGCATTTTCAAAACATTCTGAAGCGTGTTGGTACATTTCAGACCCGCGGGAGAACAGGGCGGCAGAGTCCATCTCCGGCAGCAGCTCAGACAATGAGATCCATGGGCCGCTCCTCGCCGATCGCAGCAAGCGTCAACAGCACGCAATGACGCCATCAACTACAGGAAAAACAGTCTCCAGACCTCGTTAAGATCTCAGGAACGTACAAAAATGACTTTCTACTCCAGACAAGTAAGGCGACGGCTTGTGCTAAGATGCGTTTACGTTGTCACAGCAATATCCAGGAAAACCCATTGTGATACCATGTGCGTAACGTACTCCCCACTTGAGTTCGTAGGTAAGGCCGCAGACACTGATCCCATCACGGGTGCCATCACGGGTCCCATCACGGGTCCCACCACGGTCCCATCATGGCCGCCCAGGTGCGTAGCATCACACTGACGCAATGCCCTGCTCTCGTACTGGCACGATGTCATGTCCCACTGGCGCAATGTTATGACGTCATACCGACGCAACTTCATGTCCTACTGATGCAATGCCCTGATATCATGCTGCCGTAATTCGCGTCGCGATGCAAAACAGCGGCAGACCGACGGGACGCCAGGGCTCGCCCGAGCGTTGTGCGTGACCGGCTCGGATTTAGCCCCAAACCCTCCAGCTAAGCACCACGACGTAGTGTACACCACCAGCTGATCGGTGCCGGGCGCACGTGTAGCTGTCCCGGAGCACTCTGGCTTGACTGGCAGGTCCGGTTTGTGGCGGCTTTCCAGCGACACGGGCGGGGCGGGCCGGCGCGGGGCAGGGCGCCAAGGGTAGGGTAGGGTAGGGTAGGGTAGGGTAGGGTAGGGTAGGAGCGGGGCGGGACGGGGCGCCAAGGGTAGGGTAGGGTAGGGTAGGGTAGGAGCAGGGCGGGGGGTAGGGTAGGGTAGGGTAGGGTAGGAGCAGGGCGGGACGGGACGGGGCGGGCGGGGTGGGCGGTCCGGGGAGGGGTGGCACGTGGTGACGAATCGACACCGGTGCTCACGCGTAAGCCTCGTAGTTGCCGGTGGCGACGGCTTCCAGGAGCAGCTCGGTAAGACGCACCACCTCCTGCTTGCGAGCTGAAACAGCGCGGCGTCACAGCGCCGTCACACAACAGCGTGACGGGCTTCGCTGTGTGTCGAACTGAGGTCACAGAGCGGAGTCACAGGATCACCCGGCAGTGAACACACGTCACAACGCGGTCGCACAGAAGTGTCACGCAGCGTCACAGAGAAGTGAGACAAGCCCATGGAGCGGGACAAGCCCTAGAGTGGTAACACAGGGAGACGACCACAGGGGACGAACTGTTCGAACAGAGGGACGGTCCTTTTAAGCAGACAGCACAGAACTGACAGTGCCAACCAGCAGTAGCCAGACAGCACAGAACTGACAGCGCCAGCTGGCAGTAACCAGACAGCACAGAGCTGACAGCGCCTGCCGGCAGTAACCAGACAGCACGGAGCTGGCAGCGCCTGCCGGCAGTAACCAGACAGCACAGAGCTGACAGCGCCTGCCGGCAGTAACCAGACAGCACAGAGCTGACAGTGCCAGCTGGCAGTAACCAGACAGCACATAACTGGCAGCGCCAGCCGGCAGTAACCAGACAGCACAGAACTGACAGCGCCAGCCGGCAGTAACCAGACAGCAAAGAACTGACAGGGTCAGCCGGCAGTAACCAGACAGCAGCGCAGAACTGAAAGCGCCAGCCGGCAATAACCAGACAACACGTGCGTGTCCGGCACAAACAGCGGCGACACAGCGGCCCCTGACATCGCTCGAAGCCGGGCATCGCACGTCACACTGAACTCCCTGGCCAAACCAAACGGAGCCAAAACAGCGCCAGTTGGCCGACAGCAGACACGGCCACGATGCAGGGAGGCAGGACTCGAGCACTCCGTTCACGCTGAGGACAGCCCGTCTCAAAACGCGGCCAATCTGAATGCCGACGTCGTTACCGCGATGGAGGATGTTGCAGATTGGAAGCTCGGACAGCCCGGCTGACATTGAGAGGTCACAGGTCACAGAGTGCCCGTCGCCCGACCCATCTCGGCCGGGCGCTGTCCCGCTGCCAGCTGGCATGGTGCTGACAGCACGTCATGTGTGTACGTGCACGGGCAAAAAACACGTCCCACCCACAACCAGCCCAGCCGACAGCGGACGTCCGATAGGGCCGGTCGTGCTCTAGCAGCCCCGACTGCCCTGACATCCGACAGGGTTGGTGGCGCTTTGGCAGCCCTAACTGCCCTGACATCCGACAGGGCCGGTGGTGCCCTGGCAGCCCCGACCGCCCTGACATCCGACAGGGCCGGTGGTGCTCTGGCAGCCCCGACTGCTCTGACATCCGACAGGGTTGGTGGCGCTTTGGCAGCCCTAACTGCCCTGACATCCGACAGGGCCGGTGGTGCTCTGGCAGCCCTGACCGCCCTGACATCCGACAGGGCCGGTGGTGCTCTGGCGGCCCCGAATCCCCTGACATCCGGCTAAGTTTGGTTGCAAGCATACGCCTCCACGGTTGCTTATGGGTTCACTCCTGCCTGCGTGCACTTCCCATGTGTAGCTTCGCAGCAACGTTTCGTCTGTATGGATCATGTACAGCGAATGCCAGCAAAGCAGCGAACCTTATTAACACAAATGAAGCTTGCTCTTAATGCTGGAAGACGGCACGTACCGAGGGACGGAAGCTGAGAACCGGGATCTGCGCAGACCGTGCGGTCCCCGCCCATGTCGGGGACCACCCTGTCCGCGCCGCGGTCCGGGACCGCGCGGTCCGGCCGGCGCCGGCCGCCGAGGCGCGCCACCTGCAGCGACAGCGCGCACTGCTGCCGGACACAGCTGGTGACGGCCTGCACGATCCCCCGCTCACACATGGTCCGGCCGAGGGCGCTGGTCACGATCCCACAAGGTCAGCGGAGGTCCCTCTAGGACCGTAACGGCTTGCTGAGCTTCCGCCGGTCGCGCAGAGGCCCGCCACACCACCGCACAGTCGCGCTGGCGTTTCTTCGGGCTGGAGCGACACTTAAACCACTTCCACGGAATGAGCCGAGTTCCCGTGGGTCTATCGGAGACCCATGTTACCCGTATGGGTCAAGCCGTGATCCGGTGGGTGTAGCGGAGACCCATAGCCACACCGCGAGGTCACACTTCAAAGGGTCAGCGCGGTCTTCCACCGGGAATATCATCTCCAGCACCGCTTTGACCCATCAGGCCGCCAGCAAAATCTCTCCGGAGCGGAGGTGCCTTGCTAGTCGCGACTCCAGGCACGTGCTACAGCGATCGCGTCACCACTGGAACGCCGCCCTCACCGCTGCAGCAGCCGGCTGTCGGCGGGTGTCACGTGACCGGCAATGGGCGGCGGCCCGCAGGCCACGTGACGGACCGGCGCGAAACATGAGGCGGACGTCTGGCGGCGGCCCGCCGGCCGACCGGAACCGGCCCGCCCCATTCAGATGCCGCCCAACAGGACAGGAGGCCGCTGGCGGCGCCGGTCGGGCTCGGCACGACACTGATGCCACGGGCTCAGCCGGGTCACGTTCAGTGTTCCGGGAACGCTGCCGACATTCACGACAGGCGGCGGGATTGATGCGATAGAGCGTGCGGTTTGTACCCATTGTGACACCTTTCGCCGCCAGGGCTTACCCTGGAGCGACTGCGGTACGTCCACCCCAACACCGTGGCTCCCCCGTCGTGCAAACCTCGGCCCGCCTTTCCAGTGGGGCTTGCAATGTATTGCACACTCACGCGGGTGAAAACGGACCAACGCTGCCGTCACATAACTCAGCAGGCCACGGCGAAGCCAGGCGATGCTCGAGATCTAACTTGTGTCCATAGCAGAGAGAGAAAGAGAGAGAGAGAGAGAGAGAGAGAGAGAGAGAGAGAGAGAGAGAGAGAGAGAGAGAGAGAGAGAGAGAGAGAGAGAGAGAGAGAGAGAGAGAGAGAGAGAGAGAGAGAGAGAGAGAGAGAGAGAGAGAGAGAGAGAGAGA